ACCGATTGCCATTTAAGGCCTACTTTGTGTTGATAGTTCGAGAAATTGAGGAGCTTCCTTACCACTCCATTTAAAAAATAATAATTGTTAAGGATTTAATTACTGATATTGATGGAAAAATAGGTGAATGTAAACTTCATCTTTGAAAAATGATTTTTTATCAGCTAAATTATTAGTATTACTTAGTCCTTATAGGAATTTAAATTCTTATTATCAATCTTAATAATAAGATTTTTAATATTATAGAATCATAAATTTTTTAAAATAGTTGAAGTTTGGACCAAATTGTCATTTACATTAAAATTAAAGAGGACGTAATTTTTTAAAGAAACACTAAATTCTAATTAGTTGAAACCAGGATTATGTACAACATGCATGTTAATTAGGAAAAATTACATCTTTTTCAATTTTGGTAAAGATAACAATTTACTCCAAACATTTTAGAGAATTTATGATTTTAGAATATTAAAAATCTTATTATTAAGATTGATGATAAGACTTCGAACCTCTATGACAACGAAATATTAGAATTGGTTTTTTTTTTTTTTTTTTTTCCCTCGTTTTAGATTAGAAACTTTCTTATTCCATTATATATAAACTAGATTTTCCCAGAAATGTTCCTGGTTCATTAACCGGTGAATCTCATTAGGGAGTCATCCAACTTTATCAAAATCAACATTTTGGTTATTCAACTCATAACTCTAACAAAATAGTCACGTAAGAAATGACGTGGCGCTCGAGAAGAGCAACACTAAGGACAGTCGCCCTTCGCCACTCGCTCCGTCACTCTCCCCACCGTGTTGCCACGTAGCACCAGTATCAGATCCCTACACCAGAAACTAATTTTCATCCGGTGGCTTACGAACTTTTTCCCTTTCTAATTTTAAAATGGATTTAAAGGGTTTTTTTTTCAAAAGAACATCCTAAAATCGAATCTGGTCCCCATCTCTCCCTTGGAGACCAAGAACGGATTCCAACTCTCTTTAGTCCTTCTCTATTTCATGCATCAGAAAAACATATGTATGCATTGAAAGATGACAAAACTCTATGGAAGAAAGACATGGTTGAAGGGAAATGATTGATTGAGGACTCAATTGTGGCTCTGGAAGGCGAAATTCTGCAAAAATCGAAGGATTTGGGGAAAATTAAAGGTAAATTCCGTTTCAATTCAAGGTGTCTTGGTGTAGAATCAGGAAATTAAAAAGATGAGAAAGCTAGCAATTTAAAAGATGTTAGGGTTTAGGGATTCCATCTTTTTCTCTTCATCTCAGAAGGTGTTATGAGTTGAAAAAGGAGGGTGAAATTCGTGGAGGAGAAGGGAAAATACAAGATTTCTTTAATAAAAAAAAAATCAAAATTCAGAGAACTTGACCCCGCCTTTGATCTTTCCCATCATCTTTTATCGTTGATTGCCTCTGTAATATTGGGGTAGGATTGTGAAAGTGAGGTGAAGAAGGAAAGGAACCATGCGATGGGTAAAGCGCAAGAGAGAAGGAGATGAGAGAGAATCGTTAATTGTTGTTTGTATTCTTTGTTTTTTTTTTTTTTAATGTGGATATGTGTTAAAATTTAAAGTACATGATGAAAGCAGTTTCCGGTTTAGGGATCAAATATTGGTGCTACATGGACACGCGGTGAGGAGAGTGACGCAGGGAGTGGTGAAGGGCGCTTACCATTAGCACTGCTCAAAAAAAAAAAAAAAAAAAACGCTGAGTGCTCAAATAATCACTAATGTTCAGAGTAAAATTTCACGTGATTTTAAGATATATTTTCCATACATAAAGAAGGAAAAGGGGAAAGCTCAACATTTATTAGCGCTGAAAACATCATAAACATCCAATGTGGTGGAAGACCAAGAAACAAAGCATTATTTCTACAAACTTTTAACTTTTCCTCAAGTTGCCCGAACAAGCATCATTGTTGGCTGAAATAATTGTTGATGAATCGGCCTTTCTTTTCTCATCGAAGGTGGTAAACCAAGACCAAAGATCAGTTGATCCAGCTGAACCACACATTCTTGCTACTGTCGTAACTCACCCTCACAAATTTCTCTATTATTTTTGGAATGACACAACAGATGGATACTGAAAAAAGAAATTGAAAATGGTAGTTATAATTACTGTGCTTATTGAACAAAGAAAAATGGTCCAATTAATTATCAAATGAACTCACGAGTGTAAACCCATGAATTAGTCTGGTATGACAGAAATAGTC